TGAGCAGTGGTGAGAATTGGAATTGATACTATGGGGAGGAACACTGGTGAAATTGTTTCACATGCAGGCTCTGAGGTAAGTGCTGATAAATCAAGATCATTTTCTTCATTTACTGCAAGTATGAATATTATAAGCAAACAATTTGTAACAATCTTAATGGTAATATAAAAAACAAATTTGTAAAAAAATAGGCCATGAAGAAAGGAGAAGGTCGATTGAAAAAATCCCTTTTTGCTTCTATTCACAAACCACCAATAGATGATGGGAGACCAAGAAGCATGGTTATTAAGGTAAAACTTGAACTCTCTCGAAACATCTTTTCTCGTATTTGACTTCAGATATCTCAAATAAATCTGTATCTGATTTGAGTTTGCTTGCTTTGTTTGGTTAAACTTGGAACTACAAAACAGAAAGCACACAATATGATTCCTCCTCACATTGTAGCTGAAGCCATATCAACACTCCATGGTGATGGTGTGGAGCTCAGATTTTCAGGCCCTATTACACCAACAGAAAGGGAATATGTTGAGCAGTATGTGTTGGCAAAGTACCCACAATATGCTGCGCTTGTTGAAGGAGAACAGTTTGATCTTTCTAGTATTTGCATCATTGAAGAATCTACTGAGACCATGCCTGATGATAAGAGGAAATCACCGAGGGGTAGTTTGAAGTCACCTAGGGAGTCAGCAACACAATTCGCCGGGAGCAACCTGCCTGACTTGGACAGGACTCAGTTGGAGCCGTCGAGGTTGCTTGACATCCTCACCAAGAAATCCTCCTTCCCCGGAAGCTTCATCTCGATCCCCGAGATTCAAGCTCAAAACAAGGTCTTGAAGCACTGTGGATTGACTGATGATGAGTACCTTGTTCTCTTCACCCCAACCTACAGGGATGCCATGGTGTTAGTAGCAGAGAGCTACCCTTTCTTCAAGGGAAACTATTACTTGACCATTCTTGGGGAACAAGACTGCATAAAGGAGTTTGCCGGTTACAAGGAATCCAAAGTGATTTTGGCACCAGAGACTTGGTTGGATTTGAGGATCAAAGGTTCACAATTAAGCCAGTATTTCAGGAAGAAGAGTAAGCTCAAGGTCAAAGGGTTGTTCTCTTATCCAGTTTTTGAAAATGGGGTCCATCACTCACTACATTGGGTTTCCGAAGCTCACCGGAGCTCGTGGCATGTTCTTCTTGATGCAACCGAACTGGTTTTTGGGAAGGATCACTTGAATCTCAGGCTTCACAGGCCTGACCTTGTTCTGTGTAGCATTGACAATTCTCATGGCCAGACTTCAAAGATCACTTGCCTCTTGGTCAGGAAAAAATCCTTTGACACTTCAATGCCTTCGCCTCAAGTCAATGAATGAGGGCTATTTGTGTGTTTATGTACAATATGTTAAACGGTTCTAAGACACACCAGTAAGCAGTAACATTTTTTTTAACTGTGGAAAAGGGAAGATGAACACGAACATGAGCGGGTATAATCACTAAATTGATATTTTAATTGATCGAAGTACAATAAAACTTCTGAATGTTGTGAGTTTCTGAACATATATATACATATGATGCACTTGAGTTCTCATCTCTGCAACTATTTTTTGTTCAGATTGGGATTTCATTCTTAGTAAACATTTTTGGCTGATGTATGTAATTTATGCAACTTTCCTTTCCTGCATCTGTGTTGTACAAGCTTTTGGGGCGAGTAATTGTCAGTTAACATTTGCATTGGATGCTTCTTTAACCATTTCCAAAAACCGAAATTGGAACCGTGTTGAGGTTGCCGGTAAAATGAGCTAAACTAATCCTGGCCATTTATGTTAAAAAGAAACTTAAAGACACATGGAATGAGGTTCTAACTTGGTATATTAAAG